CTATATCCTTCCTGAATCTGAATTTTTCCAACTTAAAACCATCACTTTGAGTCCTGTCTTGGCTAGATATTTTTAGCATGCTATTTACATTCCCTTTATTTATTCCAGTTTTCCATTTATACACCTCAATCATGTACCCCCTAATTCTATGCTTTTCTAGAGAGTGCAGATTCAGGGCCCTCAGTCTGTCCTTATAAGGAAGATTTCTGATACATGGGATCAACTTTGTCATCCTTCTTTGTACATTTTTCAGTGCATTAATATCCATTCTGTAATATGGTGACCAGAACTGTGAAGCATAATCTAAATGAGGCCTAACGAAAGACAAAGAGAGTTGAAGAACAACTTGAGGACTCCTGTTATTTATGATTCTTGATATGAAGCTAAGGATTCTGTTTGCTTTATTGCGAACTCGTATGCACTGTTGTCTTGGTCTGTTGTTCATTTCTTATGGTCATTACACCATTTTTTGTTCATTGCAGTATTTGTTTCTGAAAGGAAAGGTTTCTTAGTTGCAGCCCTCCCACGATATCTTGCTGCATGGAACTCATGATGAACTGTTTTAGTTAAAACTTGATTTGCATGATGCTGATTTAGCTCTGCAGTCAATTTTCCAGCTGTAGTCTAATGACATTTTGACAAAATACACTTTAGTGCTTGACAGTCCCAGTCGCACAGTTTCTTCTTGCATCCACTATTGCTTTTGTTGGAACTTGTCTTACCATCATTTTGGAATGCAGACATGACCATAGAAACAGTTGCTCTCAAAAAATGTTATATTTCAGCAGTTTTGATAACCAATGCTCCAGACATCCATGCTCCAATGATTTGTTTTCTTTTGAAGTCTGTAATGTCTTTCATTCTTGACTCAACTTCATTCTAAAATATAATAAAACAATAGATATGAAAGAAAAGAATGATAAAACACATTTAAATTGATCATTCAGTCATTAGTTCAACAGTTCAATCAGGAGGTGTTCACGTTATTTTTGTCCAACCCCTGTAAGTATAAATGTAATAATTATATTTTAATTAAATACATAACTAACAAGTGTTAGAAGTAAATTTTTACCTCCCAGAATCAGTGATGATATACTGTACTGTATTTTTCTACCCAAGCCAAATCCATTGTTAGCGTAATTACCTATTTGTAATTATGCTGTGTTTCACCGTGTGTGCTACTGCAGTTTGTCTTTAAATGTCTAAAAGCTTTTATATTAAACATTAATTGAAAGTACAGTGCAGTATATAGCTGATCCCTAAGTTAGGAGCATCTGAGTTTTGCTTATCTTCACTTAGAATCTGGAGAATCTGAGACCAATTAATTTCTTATTTACTACAGACCAAGACTGCCACTATTATACCGTTTGGCAAACAAAAACTATCTACAGCAACACCAAGAACAATTTGGCATTTAAATATAATGCCAGAAGCCTAAGTTAACTCTGATGACATCGACTGGCACCTAAAATCACTAAATGCAAATCTTAAGTCATTATTCTTGCATAACCATGGCTAAAATATGATAGTATAGACATCACTTTTTTGGGTGCATGGCCATACATAATTGCAGACTCAGAACCACACTTTACTATTAATACGAAATTTATTATCAAACATGACGCAGGGATGAACTTGAGTAATGCATATTTGAACAATTTACAACTAGAAAACCTAATGTAGGTGAGAGAGGTACATTATAATATACACCTGGAAGATACTGGAGGGACTGGTCCTAAACCTCCACACCAAAATCACTGTATGGTAGACAGAGACCTTGCAGATGGTTGTTTATTCATACAACCAAACCTGTAAGATTTATGGAGACAACCACCTCTATCAGTTGTATTATTTACCATTATGGCTGCCTCCTGGCTGTCTAGTATTCTTGTGCTACCTATCATTCTGGCCTACTCAGCTCTCAGCATCCTTAGATTCATTTATACCAGTGCATAACCTTTATTTGGATCTGTCCTTGGTCACACTTAGTATGCCACCCCTCTTACCTTCAGTTGCTGATCCTTCCAGCAGTGGTAAAAGTGGCAGTCCAAGTGTAACCTAACTCCATCAAACAGCAGTGGGTTCTTCCTATCTATCTGCAGGTGATGCCAACTTGCCCAGCTATATGGAATCTTTCTCTGCTTTTGTCTGCCCTTCCCAGTTATCCCTTGTTCCGAATACAGTCCTTGATTTCTCTGAGGTAGAAACTTAAAAGCACAACTGCTGATAAAAGCTACTTTCCCTATTACAAATGTGGGTGATTCATTGCCTCTAAGTGACTCATTCTGGTAGATGTTAGAACTAATGCAATTGTGTCCTCTAATAATTTCACCTTACCTGCATTTAATGTGTGTTGCTTATTACAAGTGAAGTAGAATTTGTCTCATGATCAGGCTGGTTGTTGTGAGGCTAGTGCAAGTATGTGTTCTTAGGCATATATTGTACCTTTAAAATTTTCAGAGGCTATTCCAACAATTATCTTCATTGCTTCCATAATAATGGATGTACGTATATTTATTCTTAAATATAATTTAAATTTCTCTTCCCCTCTTTTTCTATACTGTATAATTTTTGTTGCTTTGCTCTGTGATAGAGCTATATACAGTGGAACCTCGGTACTTGAACAATTCGATATTCGAACGCTTTGTTCGGTAAATAAATCGCTTGGTAGTCAACATGACCTGCTAGAACTTTGCTGTAAACTATTTGTTTCTTCACATTTTTTCGTGTTTTTTTATATTACTGTATTTGTTTAAATAAGTCACCATGAGGCCTAAGAGGGTTAGTAATAACAGCCAACCAAGAGGAAAATTGGTTGGGAAAAATTCGTTCGGTACTTGGACAGATCGGCACTCGAACAGCCTTCTGTTCCTTCTGGACCAAACTGGCCATATCCCATCGAAGTAGGGTGGCCCAGAAAGAAAAACGAAAGTTTCTCTTTTTAACTTTAGTAATGTATACAGGAGAAGGGGTTACTAGCCCCTTGCTTCCGGGATTTTAGTCAACCGTTATGATACACATGTCTTACGGAGGAAGAATTCTGTTCCACTTCCCCATGGAGATAAGAGGAAATAAAGAAGAACAAGAACTATTAAGAAAATAGAAGAAAATCCAGAGGGGTATGTACATATATATATGCTTGTACATGCACATGTAGTGTGACCTAAATGCAAGTAGAAGTAGCAAGATATACCTAGTATCCAGCATTAATGAGACAGAAAGGAGATACCAGCAATCTTCCAATCACATAAAACAATTACAGGTTTCTGTTTCACACTCACTTGGCAAGACGGTAGTACGTCCCCGGGTGGTTGCTGTCTACCAACCTTCTACCTTCTTAGGAGAGCTATAGATATCTTTATAAAATTATCATTTCTTCTGTTGTGCATGGAATGGGCCATCCTGAGAGATGGTAATTCCCAAGTAAAAGTAACTCATGGTCTCCTGGAATGAAACTTTTGAAGCTCCTGTACCTACTGAACCCTTTACAATATCCTCATTGACCCACTAAAGTCTTGTAGTTCAGGCTGACAGATTTCAGCTCCATATGAAATCCATCTTGTGTAATGGAATATGATAGTAAAACATAGCTAGCTTTTGTTTCCACTATATAACTGTTATATAAACAGGGTAGTACATTACTGATACATCCAGTGTCACTAAATAAAGTCAAATGCTTTGCCAGCATAGTGCATATAGATTTTTTGATACATCTTGTATTTCACCATTGTGTCATGACTTCATTGATGTCTTGTCTGTTTATGAACACATTTTTTCTCATTTTTATTGGTTGTTTGTTTATTATAAAAATGGAACTTTAAAGATATGCAGAAAGCTTTGATTCTCATTCCCCCAGTTTTCCTGTGTACTACAGGAAATTAATCTTCATCATATAATTGGTCTTCGTGTCTCTGGCTGTGGTGTCTTTTTGTCTTTTGATTTGTATCCTACCTATAATGTAGACTATGATTTCTTAACTGACACCAATTTGCTACATCCTCTGTAACCTCCTCAAACCCTTACTACCAATGCCCTTTGCTCATCACCATCTTGTGCTTCTACCATCTCTCTCATCTCTGCCGCTTAGCACTGAATGACCCTTATGGGTTTAGCACTTTCCTTGAAGGTAATAATAATCAGCAGTAACTTAAGTGATATGTCTAGGGCTTTCCTTTGATTCTTGCTTATCAGAACTGATCATGAACACCCAAAAAATATATAAGCTTTGATAGTCTTGATTGACCATTAATACATGCAAGTCCCTTTGTTAGGCTCTTGTACAATATATGCCATGTAGAAAACTCCTGCTCTTGTGGTACCTTGCTCTGACAAAAAAAAGTATGAAAGAAAATTTCAGGTTACCCAAAACATTATGATAAAGTTTATTATGGACGTGGGGGCAAGGAAACACAGAAAACATTTATTTAATCAGAATGAAGCTAGCACTATAAGTTAAAATTTGGCATGTACCTGTGTGTGTGTGTGTGTAATTTATTTATATATACATGTATTTATTTAGTAAGCAAGTGTTCTTTAATTTTTTTTTTTCATTGTTGAATTTACACACTGAAGCATTATCTAACCTCACTAATTTCAACACCTAACTCTATCTAGGATACACATAATACAGGAGAGTCAGCTTATATCTAGGTACTTATTTATTGTTATGTAAACTCGCTCCAAATTGAGCCTGGATCCGTAGGCTGTGAGTGAAGGTGATATTGCTGAGTTATGAGGACTAATGTACCCCAAGGTGCACGATATAGTTTAATCATTTGTTAATATACTGTATTCATAATCTCCCCGCCTTCGGATTTGTAATATTGCCTTTGGTGCATATCAGTCATGCACTGCATTAGGCATGTGCTTGCAAATTAAAATCAGGTTTGTGCCCAGTGTATGTTATATTGTACAAGCAGGTCATACAAGAGTGCATACTGTAAAGTACTGTTTTTTAATTCATTAATATTGTACTGTATTCATTACTGCTTTCTTCACAGACCCACCTGTAGTATCCTGAGGAATCACTACAACTGCTGTTTGTGTAGTGTATCTTTGGAGAACCAGCCACCTCAGCCCAGATGACAGCATTTATGCAGAGAAGAAACTATTTCTATTGCTATAAAATATAGTCCACCAATTCCAATATCAGCCTACATACTCTGTGATGAATGTCTTAAATAATAGTCATTTTAATTATTGTCACATACAAGTGGTATTAGATTTAAGCTTCTTCACACAAGTGATTTTCATTGAATTTCATCCACTGAAATCTACAGGTATAATTTTTCATTCTGTTTATACTTCATCCACTGAGTAATAAATTATATTACTGTAACCTTGAATAGGTTATATTTCACTCAAAGCATTGATGCATTGCTCATTGATCTCTGTACATACTTATACAGTATACTCTAATATAGCAGAACTTTGTAAGATGCTCAAATATCAGGTATTTATACCTTTGATTTTTATGAAGCCTTATGAAGACATGGCACAAGATATTCATATATTTTTGCTTGATATGTCATTAAAGGTTTTAGTGATATAATTACAGTATTATGCTCAGTACAGTATGACAAGTTTGTGAGATATTGATTTTTTTTAAATTTTTAGAGCTTTGGCTACTGGTACTGAGAGTTTGACATGCATTATTTCAAATGTAATGTGTTAATTTCATATTTTGCCTGTCTTGATTGATCAACTGATAATTTCCTACACCATTGGCAACCCTCTTCTGGGAAAGTCCCAGCATCAGTGAAGTCTGTATGACTTCTTACCTGAAACTGACTTATTATACCAACTTTGACTTCCCACTATAACACCTATGCCCACCCTTCACAATCAGAAAATATATATTTAAAGGTTGCATATTTTTTGTTGTGAAAATTATATGCTAGGTCTTGTAAATTCAGGATCCTTTTCTTTTTATTTTTTTTTTATTATCACACTGGCCGATTCCCACCAAGGCAGGGTGGCCCGAAAAAGAAAAACTTTCACCATCATTCACTCCATCACTGTCTTGCCAGAAGGGTGCTTTACACTACAGTTTTTAAACTGCAACATTAACACCCGTCCTTCAGAGTGCAGACACTGTACTTCCCATCTCCAGGACTCAAGTCCGGCCTGCCGGTTTCCCTGAACCCCTTCATAAATGTTACTTGCTCACACTCCAACAGCACGTCAAGTATTAAAAACCATTTGTCTCCATTCACTCCTATCAAACACGCTCACGCATGCCTGCTGGAAGTCCAAGCCCCTCGCACACAAAACCTCCTTTACCCCCTCTCTCCAACCTTTCCTAGGCCGACCCCTACCCCGCCTTCCTTCCACTACAGACTGATACACTCTTGAAGTCATTCTGTTTCGCTCCATTCTCTCTACATGTCCGAACCACCTCAACAACCCTTCCTCAGTCCTCTGGACAACAGTTTTGGTAATCCTGCACCTCCTCCTAACTTCCAAACTACGAATTCTCTGCATTATATTCACACCACACATTGCCCTCAGACATGACATCTCCACTGCCTCCAGCCTTCTCCTCGCTGCAACATTCATCACCCACGCTTCACACCCATATAAGAGCGTTGGTAAAACTATACTCTCATACATTCCCCTCTTTGCCTCCAAGGACAAAGTTCTTTGTCTCCACAGACTCCTAAGTGCACCACTCACTCTTTTCCCCCCATCAATTCTATGATTCACCTCATCTTTCATAGACCCATCCGCTGACACGTCCACTCCCAAATATCTGAATACATTCACCTCCTCCATACTCTCTCCCTCCAATCTGATATTCAATCTTTCATCACCTAATCTTTTTGTTATCCTCATAACCTTACTCTTTCCTGTATTCACCTTTAATTTTCTTCTTTTGCACATCCTTCCAAATTCATCCACCAATCTCTGCAACTTCTCTTCAGAATCTCCCAAGAGCACAGTGTCATCAGTATTTATTTGCTTATGCAGTTTCATATCTACTTTCAAAAGAGTGGGATAGATGCATCAGGCCTTATACCATAATACAGAAGTGTTGTACTTCTCGATTCATGTAATGTGTGTGTACTGAATTAAGGTCTCCTTGAAGCTTTACTGCTTTTATCTATTCATTCACTATTCCCATGTACTGGTAGTTTCTTTCTTCAACATTAAGGCTCCTGTCAAGTTTTCAGGTACACTTCTTTAAATTTTATACAGTATTTTAAAATTGCATGCTTTTGTTAATGTTTAAAATAATGACTGCATATCAGGTTTGTGTACAAAATTAATATGATTTTATCCACATAAGTTTGTGTACAAAAGTTGTATTGTTTTATTTGTGTAATGAATATTATAACCATTTAAGGAAAGGAACTGACCCATATCATTTGATCCATATCACAATGTCCACTATATTTGTTGATACAGTATTATTTAATTATAAACTGTTGATAAAAAATAATGCTATACTCCTAACAGTTCATCCTCAGTAAAGTGTTGTCAGTTTTATTAAGTATACATTTAATATTAACATACTAAATATACACTGTTACTATATAATAATGGTGATTTAGGTATTTCTTTTCATTCAGTAATCCTCTTCATATGTCAATACAGTACTGTAAAATCCTTAACATTGATGAATGAAATTGGACATTTGTAAGTAATCTGCTAGTGAGAGCAAACAACTGAATAACTGTACCGTTTTGTACTTTAAATATTTGTAGTATATGGATTAAATGGAAGCTAAATTGACTTTAAATATAAATGTAACAATATAATTAGCAAAAAAGTGACTATGACATTGCAGGTTGAGTGTGGTGCGAATGTGTGCAGAAAATATCTCACCACACATGAGATGTTGTCATACAGTTTGCATTATTGCTTATTGTTCTCTATTTGTAAATAATAGACAGACTCTTTTTATGAAAACAGTAATGTATATATGTATTTGTTAGTAATTTTGTTGTGATTACTTCTAAGACACATGCATTGAAGTCTTAATATTACAGTAGTAGTTCATGACATGCAATACTCATAATATATACTGTAGTTTAAAAAGTCATGGAAACTGTTAATTACTGTAATGCTTGCCTCACAGGTAACCTTGTATATAAGCTTCTTGTCAAACTGTTACATTTTAGTTTTGAAGATTACTTTGTTATTTAAGTCACATTCTCTGGTCAAACTGAGTTTCAAGAATATTAACTCAGAACAAATGTTGTGTTTCACCATCCACAAGTTAGCTGGGGAAGTATGATAAATCTTTCTTGACACATTATTTATTCAAGTAAGCCAGCTACTCAGAGGTTTACCTAAGTGAAAATTATAAAGTTTCAGCTCTTATTGTCTCCCATTATATGTTAACTGCAGTAAGAAATAACATTGCTAACTTGTTTTTGATGGTAGTCATCAATAGTATAGCCCATGGAGAGCAATATGACTGAAGGTTTCCACTCAGAAGTATTTTAACCCTTTGACTGTTGCAACCCCAAATCCTGAGGTGTCTCCTGGTGTCGCAAAATAATTGAAAAAAAAAAAAAACTTATGAAATGATAGAGAATCTTTTCCCGATGGTAATGACACCAAAAGTATGAAATTTGATGGAAAACTTACGGAATTACGCTCTTGCGAAGTTAGCACCTATGCAACATTTAAGCATCAGCAGTTTCGCCCACTTTGAGCCCTATTTTCAGTTAATTCCACTGTTCCAGTCCACCAAACTCATAGCTATTTCTCTAGAACTTCATTTGTTCTATCGATTGAATACAAAAAACCACCCATTTACCGATTTCAGCTACCCAATAAAGTGGACAGAAATTGGCAGTTTGACCAATTTCATGCAAATTAAAAAATGTCAATTTCAAAATAGGGTCCAGAATGAACAATGCAGACATTCTTGGCACTAAAATAACATTTTCTCTGTTAATCAGTCACATCTCCAGGCCCATTATAATCCTCTTGCTTTCTATTTTGAATTTTTATTCACACAAAAAATAGATTTACTGTCATGCAGACTATTGCAATATTGTAATAATTGTATAAAAAGCATCAACCCATTTGTGACTGCATATTAGAATGGCTAGTTGAACATTTATTGGACAATGACATCATTTGTTTACTCTTGAACATCGGCAAAAATTGAACATTTCTTCCTCTTTGAGCTCCATTTCAAGATCCTTTTCATACTAAAACCAATCAAAATCACTTCTATTTCTATAATAATCTTTCCCTTCTATCAAATGAGACCAAGAAAACAAGAATACAACCATAAATACTATACGAGAAAACACCTCAAAGTCGGCTTTTTAATCCAAAAACATGGTCGGAGTTTTTTTTTCTCATTGTGTACTTCGTGCTACAGGATTATTTTTATACTGCACACACAGACCCATTCTCTCACATGTGGGCTTACCAGCTTTCTCCTGCTTGATTTGAAGCCACTAGAATTTTTGAGTACGTATATATACATCAAACACATTGGCTCATAAGACGTATATATATATGACCAAAACAGTCAAAGGGTTAATTCTCTTCAATACATTAAGTAAAATGAAAAATTAACAAAAATTTAACACTATTAACTGTTAATTTTAAGAAATTATCATATTAAAGACCAAATTATATTGAAAGATTTAAATAACTGTATAAGGAGATTTAATAAAAAATCATATTTATTCTAATCCTGTACCTGTGGATTTATATATTTTTTTCAACGAACCGACCGTATACTTTTATCTATCATTATTATTTCTTCATCCTGTAAGAGGAAATGGGGATATATTAATGTGACATTTCTTCATCAATATATCAGCAAGTTACCCAAGATTTATTGGCCAAAAATTATTGTATCATTGACACTAACATGTAAAAAAATAATAGTCTGATTTGAGAGCTAATATTCAAGACAATGGTGTCTGTTAAATACAGTATATTGTCTTCTAATAGTGCCTGTATGTATTAAAATTTCAATTGATTTGTAACAGTTGGTGTATATTTTGAGTGTGTAGTATTATAGTGTTAGTATGGGAAGTGGAGAAGAATCCTTCCTCCAAGTGTGTCATAAGAGGTGACTAAAATGCCAGGAGCAAGGGGCTAGTGACCCCTTCTGTATAAATTACTAAATGTAAGAAAAACTTTTGCTTTTCTTTTAAGGTCACCCTGCCTAAGTGGGATATGGCCTATGTTAAAGAAATAGAGCTATATACTTGTGGTGTGTTGTCTTTTCTGTATATGGTAAACAGCAGAAGAAAATAGGGTAGGAGTGTTGAGGCATCTGTAGATTAAAACCTCTTCAAGGGGTGCTCCTTGGCGTGGTGGAGGCTCTTGGTCTGAGGAATTAGACCTGTCGGTCTACTTCCTCAGACTGAACTTAATTACCCCCCAATCCCCCGTTCCCTATCCCATCCTCCCCTTTTTCCTTTCCTCCTCCTCCTCCCCACCCCTCCCTTTTGCCCTTCTTTTTTTTTTTTTTTTTTTTTTTTTTTTTTTTTTTTTTTCTTTTTTTTTTTTTTTTTTCCACAGGCACGCTAGTTCCTAGGTAGGGGAAAGGGTACCGGAGTCCATCCCATTCCGTTGAGGTTCTTGGCGGTGGCGTAGTTTGCCGTGGAATCTGGATTGCCTGGGGATGTCCTGATCCCTCTCCGGTATCCCGGAGGGTGGCTTTGGGTGTCTCTCGGGCGACGAGTGTATCTCTGGAAGCCACCTTTCGGATTCTGGGGGGGGTGGCCGAAGGAGGTATGCTTTGTGGCGGATTTCCGGCCGCCCTCTCTTTTGTCCACCGAGGTAGCTCGGCAGATGTGAGGTTGCTATCCCGGATTGCCGGTTTACTGGCATGATGGGTAGGGTATGGCACGGGTTCCATGCTGCATCTGCGCTACTTGCGGTGCTGAGGTCCTCTTGGGCGTGGAGGGAGATTTCTGGCCCTTTCATTCCTCCTAGGAACTATCCCTCCCCGGCCCCCCCTTTTTTTATTCTTTTTTTTTTATTTTTATTTTCTTCTTTCTTTTTTTTTCTTAAAAACAAAAAGAAAGAAGTAACCTAACCATGGCAGCCCTAGTCCATGAACCTGCTACCCCCGGGCCCCTTCTTGATACCGCACCCCGTTCTGACCCCGCCTCGTCTTTGGACCACTCTTCGGACACTCCTCATGCCTCTGTACCTCTTGCCGGTGCTGTTTCCTCCCCCGCTTCAGGTACTGAGGCCTCGACTGACTCCTTCGATTTATCTGACCTTCGCTCTCCTCTGACTATGCTTCCGGCCTCTCCCTCTACGGTGCAGCAATTTTCGAATCGCCGGCCCGTTCCACGTCGGACCAACTCTGGTCCCACGCCTAAACGACAACGACAATTACCTGCTGATGATACTTCTCCACCTTCTCGTTCTTCTCAGAAAAGATCGACACATCCTTCACTACCTTTCCACGCTCAGTTTCAGACTGCACAATGGACTAAATTCTTCACTTTACGACCGACTTCCTCTACTGCCTATCTTTCTGACCACAGTATTGGCAAGGCACTCCTACGCCATGTTGGTAAAGATATTTCTTTTCATGCTCTTAAGAGCGGTACGCGCATCGTCACCGTACAGAATGCTACCCAGGCTCATGAGCTTTCTCGTCTTTCCCATATCGATACTGTTCCTGTAACTATTGAAAAGCATCATTCCCTCAATTCTTGTAGTGGTACCGTCATTCTGCCCCATACCATAGTTCAACAAAATTTCCAGACATGTGGCACTGACATTCTTGAACAGCTGGAACTCCAAGATCTTCCAATCCTCAAGGTAGACACTTACGTTCTTCCTGCCCGTGGGCGGAAACGATACCCTAGCAATGTGGCTCATTTAACTTTTGACACCCATGAACTCCCATCCTCAGTTTATGTAGCAGGACATCGGTTACAAGTTCGAAAGGTGATCCCTACACCGCAACAGTGTAGAAATTGCTGGCGATTTGGCCATCCAGCGAAATATTGCAGATCTATCGCCGAATGCCCAGTCTGTGGTGCCGATGACCATTCTAATACGTCTTGCAATCGACCTCCCTCTTGCCTTAATTGTCATGAGGCTCACCCTTCGTACTCTCGCCGTTGTCAAGTCTACTTAAACGAGCGGGAAATCCGTTACCTCATGGCAGTTTCTCATCTCCGCATCCAAGGGAGACTACCTCGTGTTTCTTATTCCCCTGTTTCACAACGTCCCCCCACTTCTGGTATCCCATCTTCTGCACCCACCTGTGGTTACCTCTCCCATAGTCACTCCTGTAGCTAATTCTTTTGCTGTCCTCGGCTCAGACGTCCCTACTTCAATGTCTCAGTCTGATCTTGCTTCTTCGTGTTCTCTCTCACAAGCCTCAGTAGCGACGAGATCTCGTATGACACCTCCTCCCAATCGTCCCTCTACTTCTCAAAAGTCAAAAAAAAGGTCTGTTAACACCTCCTACCCATCTTCCACCTCCTCATTTTCCCTTCCCTGTCTCTGTACCTGGTTCTCCCCCTCTCACTGGCTCTGTTACAAGTGTAGAGGTTCACCCTCCTCCTCGTACTGTACCTTCCTCCCCTGTTCCCTCCCAAGTTTCTTCCTCTTCTGCCACCTCCCAGGTTTCTGCCTCTTCTGTCCCCTTCCACGCTCCTCCAGTTCCCTCCACCCTTTCGCCCCCCCCTACCTTGGTACAGTCCATTACAGTTCCAATCTTTACTCATCCTCCCCCTACCATTTCCAATATTGTCTCCCATACGACGTCTCTGGATTCTGAAACACTTGAAGCAATCTCTGAATATATTACAGAGACCAAACCATCAATGGACACTGATCCACCCTCCGCTCCTTCTCTCTCCTCTACTCCATCTGCGCAACTCCTTTCTTCACAGCGCACCGTTCCTTCGCTGCTTGAACGTTTTCCACTGCCTCCGCATGTGGACTTTTCTAACCCCTCTAGTCCGTAGGAACCCTTACCTGCGGATTTCAGGTATCTTATCATTGCCAATCATGGCCTATTTACAGTGGAATATACGCGGCCTCAGGGGTAATCGGGGTGAGCTTCAGATGTTACTCTCCCAGGTTTCCCCTGCTGGTGTTTGCTTACAGGAACCAAAATTACACTCTGCTGTTATCTCTCCCATCTCAGGCTATAATTTATTGTATTCTTCAGATCCTTTTCCTGATGGGACCTTTAATGAAAGTGCCCTTCTTCTACGCACTGATATTCCGTACCATCAGCTATTTGTTCGTACTTCGCTGCATTACACAGCAGCCCGTATCCACTTGCATAGGTGGTATACGCTCTGTTCTTTATATCTCTCTCCTTCTCGGGCATTATCTATTCCGGATATTGCCTTTCTTGTTTTGTCATTACCACCACCGATTCTGTTAATTGGTGATTTTAATGCCCACCATTTACTCTGGGGGGGGTCTCACTGTGATTCCCGTGGCATTCAGTTAGAGGCTTTTCTTGCCACCCACCCCCTCCATGTTTTAAATACAGGTACTCACACCCATTTTGATCCTTGGACTGACACACTCTCTTGCATCGATCTCTGTCTGCTCTTCCTCCGCCGCCATAGACTTCACTTGGTCTGTTCTTCCGGACTTACATGACAGCGATCATTTCCCAATCATTCTTACTTCCCCTTCATATTCACCACCTCTTCGCATCCCACGCTGGCAATTTCATCAGGCAAATTGGAACCTTTACTCACAACTAACTGTTTTTAGAGAGGTTCCTTCTTCGTCCTTCATCAATGAGCTTTTACACCTCTTTTCGTCCTCCGTTTTAACCTCAGCTTCTCATTCTATACCCCAAACTTCGGGCAGGCATTCTCAGAAATGCGTGCCTTGGTGGTCTCCTGCTTGTGCTCGTGCAGTACGTTTGAAACGCGCTGCATGGGGCAGGTACCGGTACAATAGAACCACAGAGAGACTTCTTGATTTTAAGCAGAAGCGTGCGCTCGCTCGCCGTGTCATCCGTGACGCTAAACGCACTTGCTGGTGAGATTATGTCTCCACCATCACCTCTGCTTCCTCTATGTGTGCATTCTGGAAAAAAGTACGAAAACTGAGTGGTAAATATTCTCCTGACCCGGCTCCTGTTCTGCGGGTTGCCGGTGTTGATGTAGCAAACCCACTAGATGTTGCCAATGAAATTGGCAATCATCTGGTCCGTATTTCTCAGGGACTCCATCTATGCCCCTCATTTCTTTCCTCAAAGTCTGCCAGAGAGTTAGCACCCTTGGACTTTTCTTCTCTCAGAGAAGAACAGTATAATGTGCCTTTTACACTTCAAGAACTGGAGGCAACACTCTCAGCTTGCCGATCATCGGCAGCTGGGCCCGACGACATTCATATTCGTATGCTACAACATTTACATCAGTTAGCCCTTGCAGTCCTATTACGCCTTTATAATCTTATTTGGTCACAAGGAGTTCTTCCACAGCTGTGGAAATCCGCCATTGTTCTCCCTTTCCGCAAACCAGGCACTACGGGACATGAAACCTCCCACTATCGTCCCATTGCTCTTACCAGTGCAGTTTGCAAAGTGATGGAACGCCTAGTAAATAGACGTTTAGTGTGGTATTTAGAGACACACAACAGTCTCTCCACTCGTCAATATGGCTTTCGTAAGGGACGTTCTACCATAGACCCCTTACTACGCTTGGATACGTATGTTCGTAATGCCTTTGCGAATAACTACTCAGTTATTGCCATATTTTTTGACCTGGAGAAGGCATATGACACAACTTGGAGGTATATTTTAGCCAAAGCCCACTCCTTAGGCATTCGAGGCAATCTACCATCCTTCCTTAAGAACTTTTTAACTGACAGGCATTTCCGTGTTCGGGTTAATAATGTGCTCTCCCCGGACTTTATCCAAGCTGAAGGTGTCCCCCAGGGATGTGTTCTGAGCACAACACTTTTTCTCCTTGCTATTAATGATTTGGCCTCTAGTCTTCCATCAAATATTTGGTCATCACTCTATGTTGATGACTTCGCTATTGCCTGTGCAGGCGCTGACTGTCACCTTATTACAGTTTCTCTCCAGCATGCAGTCGACTGTGTTTCCAATTGGGCCACCACATGTGGGTTTAAATTTTCCAGCACTAAACCCACCAAATTACTTTCACTAGATGCTCTGTCATCTCCGATCATCCTTTGTACCTCTATGGCTCCCGTATCCCTGAACGTGGTACAGTCAAGTTTCTGGGCCTCCTCTTTGATCGTAGGTTATCCTGGAAACCTCACATTACCTCTCTGAAGGCAACTTGTCACAGCCGGCTGAACCTTCTTAAAACCCTTGCTCATCTTTCATGGGGAGCTGATCGTCGAACCCTCCTTCGCCTACATTCCACCCTTATCTTATCGAAACTTGATTATGGTGACCAGATCTATTCAGCGGCCTCTCCTGCTACTCTCTCTAGCCTTAACCCCATTCATCACCAAGGATTACGTTTATGCCTTGGTGCTTTTCGCTCTTCCCCTGTCGAGAGCCTCTATGCAGAAGCGAACGTTCCATCCTTATCCGATCGCTGTGATGCCCATTGCCTTCACTACTATGTACGCTCTCATGATCTCCACAATCCTTCCATTTATAGAATGGTCACTGATGTTAGTAGACATTCTTTATTTGTTCGTCGCCCCCGTTTATTCCGTCCCTTCTCTCTTCCCCTTCATTCGCTCGTCTTCTCTTCAATTACCACCTTTCTATGTACATGTAGCATCTCACTTTTCCCTACCCCCCTGGGAAGTTCCAGCTGTTCGAGTCTGTTCTTTCTCTCTCCCTTGCTCGAAAGCCCAACTGTCTACGGTCGCTTCCCGCTCTCTTTTTCTTGACCACTTTCACTCTCATTCTCATGCCATTGCTGTGTACACAGATGGCTCTAAGTCTTCTGACGGCGTAGGATTCGCAGCAGTGTTTCCGGACAGCGTCATACAAGGGCATTTACTATCTTCGGCTAGTATTTTTACTGCTGAATTGTATGCTATCCTTACAGCACTTATCCGTATTGCATCTATGCCTGTGTCATCATTTGTGGTTGTCTCAGACTCCCTTAGTGCTTTACAGGCTATACAGAAATTTGATACACCTCACCCCTTAGTCCTCCGTATCCAACTTTGGCTATGCCGTATCTTTACCAAGCATAAAGATATTGTTTTTTGTTGGGTCCCTGGTCATGTTGACGTACAGGGCAATGAACAGGCAGACACTGCTGCGCGGTCAGCAGTACATGACCTACCAGTTTCATGTAGAGGTATTCCATTTACGGACTATTTTGCTGCAATATCTTCCCAACTTCACACCCGTTGGCAACAACGTTGGTCTACTATGCTCGGCAACAAACTTCAATCTATTAAACCGAGTATAGGTTACTGGCCATCTTCTTATCACCAGTGTCGAGGTTGGGAGACTACTCTCTCCCGTCTTCGCATTGGCCGTACTCGTCTTACTCATGGATATCTCATGGAGAGGCGCCCTGCTCCTCTCTGTGAGAATTGCCAAGTTCCATTATCAGTCAGCCACATTCTGTTGGACTGCCCACTTTATCAACGAGCACGCAGAATTTACCTCCGTCGTCGTCTTCGCTCTGCTGCTCTCTCTCTACCTTCCCTTCTCGCTGATGGACCCACCTTTCATCCAGACTCTCTCATTGACTTTTTGACAACAACTGACTTACTTCACAAATTCTGATACCTTCAGCCCTTTCTACTTCAATCTCTTGCTACCCTCTACCCCCATACTATCCCCTGCCCCGCTGTTTTCTGTAACCTACTGATCATCCCTCCTCCCTTCTGCCATCCTATACCCTCGCTTCCTTCCCTACCCTTCAGTGCTGTATAGCCCTTGTGGCTTAGCGCTTCTTTTTGATTATAATAATAATAATGTAGATTAAAAGTTTTTTATGGAGGGGTACCAATAACCTGATGGAGTTTAGCTTCTTGGAGACATGCATAAAGAGAGAATAACTGGGATAGCCCCTATAGCTCTCTCCATTTTAAGGACCTAAGAAAGGGGCATGGCAGGAGGCCTACTGGCCCAAGCTAGGCAGATACAAGTCACACCTACTCAAGAAGGAACACTGCAGCAGGCCTATTGACCCAAGCTAGTCAAGTCCAACTCACACCCACTCATACATTTTTCTAACCTATTTTTAAAACTACAAAACATTTTAGCTTCAATAACATTACTTGGGAGTTTGTTCCACTCATCCACAACTCTGTTACCAAACCAGTGCTTTCCTATATCCTTTTTAAATCTAAATTTTTCCAGCTTAAACCCATTGCTGCAAGTCCTGTCTTAGTTAAGATATTTTTAAACATGTACATCCCCATTATTTATTCCTGTTTTCCATTTATACACCTCAATCACATCCCCCTAATTGTACGTCTTTCTAGAGTGCAGATTCAGGGCCCTCAGTCTATCCTTGTAGGAAAGATTTCTGATACATGTGATCAACTTTGTCATCATTCTTTTTTTTACATTTTCTAGCACATTAATTTCCATTCTGTAATATGGTGATTAGAACTGTGCAGTATAATCTAAATGAAGCCTAACCTAACCTTTTTCCTAAAGGAAAAAGGGGAATACTCTTCCTAACAAGCTAACCCAGTCATACAACAGTGACCCTTGGATGGGGTAAAGCTGGCAGCCAGCAGACAGCACCCTAGCCATGATTCCTACATAAGGGCACCTACCAACCTTCCTTCTCATCTCTGCTTTGAATATGCCTATTGGGGGTAATCCTTATCCTTTCTAAGCATTCTTGTTTGTAAATGTAGGCAAATAATAGCAAATTAACTTATTCTGACATTTACACATGAGCATATTCATAAAAATCTTCAATTCTCATTCATAATTCTGCTTCAATCATAACCTTAATTTGTAGTTATAGTTGCTGGATTACTTTGGAAAATTTCACAATTTAGTCTTATTTTAAGGTAAAAGAATAGAAGAAATTAAATTCAGTTTTATCCCTGGTGATATAGCAGTTCTATTTAAATATAATTTGCCTGTTAACAACAGGGAAGCTAATCTCTTTTGTATATTATACAACAGAAAAACACTTACATCTTCTGTCCAGTAGTAATGAGCAGGTTAATATTTGTATTATTTAACAAAAAAATTAGTTACAGTACTAATATTAAAAAAATCTTGGCATAATGCTAAAAGTGAGCTCATGATGGAGTTCAAAACTTTTTAGAACTGGAAGTCTTGTTTTCTTTACTGGACTGTGGTCTCCTCAAGGAAGATTTCTTGATGCCCTTTCCTTAATTCGACTAAACCTGAATGCCTACCATTCCCCCAGGTGCTATACAATTATTATAATTATAATAATCAAAAAGAAGCGCTAAGCCACAAGGGCTATACAGCGCTGCAGGGCAGGAAGGAAGCGAGGGCATCAGGTGGCAAAAGGGAGGTGGATGAGTAATAGGTTACGGATAACAGTGGAGAAGTGGATGGTGAAAGGGTAAAGGGCAGCAAGAGACTGAGCTAGAAAGGGCTGAGGGGAGTGCGTAAGGTATCATCAGAGTTTGTGGAGTAAATCAGTCGTTGTCAAGAAGTCAATGAGAGAGTCAGGATTAAAGGAGGGTCCATCAGCAAGAAGGGAAGGTAAAGAGAGAGTAGTAGAACGAAGACGGCGTTGGAGGTAAATTCTGCGTGCTCGTTGATAGAGAGGGCAGTCTAACAGAATGTGGCTAATCGATACAGGAACTTGACACTGCTCACAGAGAGGTACAGGGTGCCTCTCCATGAGATACCCGTGAGTAAGATGAGTGTGGCCAATGCGAAGACGGGAGAGAGTGGTCTCCCAACCACGGCACTGATGACAAGAAGATGGCCAGTAACCTATGCTCGGTTTAATAGATTGAAGTTTGTTACCAGGCAGAGTTGACCAACGTTGTTGCCAACGGGCGTGAAAGTGGGTAGCTATTGCAGCAAAATAGTCCAGAAATGTAACACCTCGATAGGAAATTGGTAGGTCATGTACTGCTGACCGCGCAGCAGTGTCTGCCTGTTCATTGCCCTGTACGTCGACATGACCAGGGACCCAACAAAAAATAATATCTTCGTGCTTCGTAGAGATACAGCGTAGCCAAAGTTGGATACGGAGAACTAGGGGGTGAGATGTATCAAATTTTCGTATAGCCTGTAGAGCACTAAGGGAGTCTGAGACTACCACAAATGATGACACAGGCATAGATGCGATACGAATAAGTGCTGCAAGAATGGCATACAATTCAGCAGTAAATATGCTAGCCGAAGATAGTAAATGCCCCCACACGACGCTGTCCGGAAACACTGCTGCGAATCCGACGCCGTCTGAAGACTTGGAGCCATCTGTGTACACAGCGATGGCATGAGAATGGGAGTGGAAGTGATCAAGAAAAAGAGAGCGGGAAGCCACCGTAGGCAGTTGAGCTTTCGAGCACGGGAGTGAGAAAGAACAGACCCGAACAGCTGGAACTTCCCAGGGGGGTGGGGAAAAAGTGAGATGCTACATAAACATATAAAGGTGGTAACTGAAGGGAAGAACAAGAGTGAATGTAGGCGAAGAGAAAAAGGGACAGAGCAAACGGGGGCGGGCGAACGAATAAAGAATGTCTTACTAATATCGGTGACCATTCTATAAATGGAAGGATTGTGGGGGGTCGTGAGAGAGTACATAGTAGCGAAGGCAATGGGCATCACGGCAATCAGACAAGGATGGAACATTCGCTTCTGCATAGAGGCTCTCAACAGGGGAAGAGCGAAAAGCACCAAGGCACAAACGTAATCCTTGGTGATGGATAGGGTTAAGGCTAGAGAAGTAGCAGGAGAGGGCCGCTGAATAAATCTGGTCACCATAATCGAGTTTCGATAAAACGAGGGCCGAATGTAGGCGAAGCAGAGTTCGACGATCAGCTCCCCAGGAAAGATGAGCAAGGGTTTTAAGAAGGTTAAGCCGGCTGTGACATGTTGCCTTCAGAGAGGTAATGTGAGGTTTCCAGGATAACCTACGGTCAAAGAGAAGGTCTAGAAACCTGACTATCACGTTCGGGGATACGGGAGCCATAGAGATACAAAGGATGATCGGAGATGACAGAGCGTCTAGTGAAAGTAATTTGATGAGTTTTGGTACTTGAAAATTTAAACCCATGCATGGTGGCCCAAGTGGAAACACAGTCGACCGCATGCTGGAGAGAAACTGCAATGAGATGACAGTCAGCGCCTGCACAAGCAATAGCGAAGTTATCAACATAGAGTGATGACCAAATTTTGGGTGGAAGAACAGAGGTCAAATCATTTATAGCAAGAAGAAAAAGTGTTGTGCTTAGAACACATCCCTGAGGGACATACAAGCCCTGCAGGTTTAGCAATCCCCCATAAATGTAATAATAATAATATTGTACCACTGTGTGCTCCACAAATCCCATTTTATACCAAGCACTATATCACCTAAGTGTATTGCAGCTATTTGGGCAATATTATTATGCACTTACATAATGATGTGTTAAGTACAGTGGGGTTCATGGCACCAGTTGGGGCTAAACAATATGACATGCATTTCTTACACTTTTATACTTGGTCATGATATTACTGATAGGTAGTGAAATTGCAATGGTGCTGGTCATGAGGACATTACTAGCATTAGTACATGTACTTGATTTTTTAAAGACATCATTTATGTCACTGTAAACTCTGCAACACCATAATACCTCCTGCTGTAGCTTAGAATTCATGTCAATACAAAAACATACACAACTGTTTGAAAACTAACACACTGTATAAACAAAAAGTACAATGCAGGACCAATGTGTAGCTGTTAAAAAAAAAAAAATGTACTGCAAAAATCTAAAATCTAACTGCAACTTAAGCCATTCTCTTGGACTTAAAATATTTTAGTTACTATCAGTATGCAGCGATGTATAGCCCTTGTGACTTAGCGCTTCTTTTTTATTATAATAATAATACTATCAGTATGGCACAATTTTAATGCACATATCAAAAGTGTTGGCAATGATTACCTGGCTAGCCAAACTCTTCTTCAAATACAATCACCAAAAGGGTATTATAGTAGTACAGATACAAAGAAAAAGCACATTCAGAAGAGAAAGATTCTTGACTTACAAGACACTGTCCAGGAAAGTGAAAACAAATTAAATAAGACAAAACATCACTAGTAAAGGTTTAGTACAATGAGACTAACATTTAATTTTTATTATAATTTTAAATAATATTTCATATTTACAGTTATTATCCCATCACAAAATGTTCATATCTTGTGTATCCAAAGTTTTAGAATAATGGTTAACATATCTGTGCTATGGAAAAGAACCTTATTCTCTCCCATTAAGTTTTTCCTAAAATATTACGCTGAAGCACCAATTGGTGGTCTGTCACTTTTTAAGTAGATCCAAATTATACTAATATTCCATGTAGGTCATTAGAATGATGGAGGCTTAGTCCTCCATTGTCTGACAGTGAAAACAATTGTTGAAAATTTATTTTCATTTCCACAAACAATGTGTGTAAACTTTCAGGTAATATTTCTACCACTGTTGTTGACTTTTGGACTTGAGCACAAAATCCAAACCGTATTTAAAATGTAAAATTTTAACAAATTCTGCCTTTATCTAGACTTCGGGAATAACGTACTTATTTAAGATGAAAGGGAGTGATGAATGAAATTTGCATTACAGCAAGTTAATCTTAATTTATAAAAACTATATCATTAATAAAAGTAGTAAAGACAAAACAAACATAAGCATTTTCAGTCTAATGGATTTCTTGAGAGTCGAGATTTCAACCCCCATTTGTGTAAACACGGCTCATTACATTAATGTTAACTGCTTATAATAATTATAAACTATGTAAATATTTACAGAAACTACTGTTTTCTAAACTCTGACATAAGGCCTATTAGAAGTCTTTAATAGTCAAAAAGTGGATATGAAAAAAGAATAAATTCTAACAAGTAATGCAGTTATTGTAGTAATTTTTCAAACAGATATCTGTATAGGCTAATCACTTGTACATTTGTGTGATTAATACATTGGTGGCTAGAAATATTATCACAGTAGCCACCTGTTTATACACCCTTGAAGGTGGATGCCGGTGCTGGTAAGGGGTTCTTGATCCAAGGAAATGGAGCTATCCTCCCTTTCCATATATCAAACCTGAATACCTCCCATTCTCCAAGCGATGTACGAGAAGCGTGGGTTTAGTGGTTCCCCATAAATATAATAATAATCTGTTGATACAACAGATAAATGAGAGGGAAGCATGTTAGTAGCCCAGCTCAAGTCTTCACAAGCTACACTACAATAGTACTCCACTGATATGGGATCTGTTCTACTCATATTAAAATTTGAAAAATAAGCCGAGTCTTAAACATTAGTGTAAAAGCAACTGCTATAGATACTGTATAGTTATAGGAATGCAAATCACATCATTAGTTAGTTTGCAAATATAAAAATCTGCTTATCTTTATGGGTATAATATGAATCTCTGTCTTTATTGTATATATAATAAAATTTCTACTCAAAGGATTTTGTAGGGACATGTTTTCTGTTTAAATGTAAAATCTTTCTTTTCTAGACTAAAACTATAATTTAAACAAGTTTTATCATAAATACTGTTACTAAAGTATTGAACATAACTGCACTGTTTTAAATTATTAAACTGAATATAACATTTTGCAGTTTTGTTATTTATTTTTATGTGAATTTGAACCTGCTAAAACTTGTTAGATACTTAAAATACTGTTTATCCCATTAACAGATTTTTAACTGCAGTATTACTGTCCACTTGCTGCGTAAAATATACCACTGACAGATGTAAGATGAAAATTTAAATTTTTTAATTATTTCCAAAATCCACATAACTACAATTCCATTCAGTCTAATAGGCTATGAAAAGAATTCTGATAGATTATTCTCTCAATAATATTTGTTGTCTTTAATAAAAAAATTTTCCTTTGCTAGAAATCTGGGTTCCTTGAGGGCTCCTGATCTAAGGCACTGGATTTGCCTTCTTCCTTGGATTGAACCTGAATGCCTCCCATTTTCCCCAGGTACTGTATGACCCCTATGAATGTAATAACAACAACAATAATAATAATAATAATAACAGAGTTTCAGGCAGCAAAAGTAGATTGTCCTCCGGTTGTCCCTCCCTCACTATGACACCTCCAACAGACTGCTGCCAGAAACACTGCAGAAATATGACACTATACTTAACTATGTATAATATGGATTCATCAAGATTCTTAAAGCTTTTATACTCTCCATCATGTGGGTATAGAACAAAATTCCAGAGCCTGCACTTAATTGTAAATATAACACTTTCTTTGCCATAAGTGAAATCACAACTTAAAGAATTGTTTACATGTCACAAAAATTTTAAGATAATGCTATAATAGAAAATTTTAGTTTTATAAAGCTGAATGACTTGAAAAAAGGCATACAGCAAAATAGCTATCCTTTGTGAATTAGTTCCCACAGATCACAGACTCTCTGCTTCGAAACAAATTTACACTCAGACTAGATATTCAGAAAAAAAAAAGTGAAGCTGAAAAGGAGTTATGGCAAAATCTCTAGAACAAGCCAGACTCTTACAGCAAAGTTACTATCATCTGCTCAGAAATCAAGATGAATTCCATTGAATTATGAATCAATGAAAAATATTTATTAATATTCATACTTCAGCTGCTGTATAATCCTACGAGTTTTGCGCTTTCCCCTCGGTTAGAATAATAATAATAATCATACTTCAGCTTTATCAAAAAGCTTAAAAGTGTCATACACATACCCTAGAAATTTTTTCATGACAAGCCACTGTTATAGAAATGGTAAATGTATATTGCTGCAAATGATAAGATTTCTTTGTCATTTTGTGTGATTGTGTTACATATTTTTATCTTTATACTGTATATGTAAAAAAATGTTTTCCTTTCTGGGCTAACTTTCCATTATCTAAATGTACATATTAATTTTGTGAATGAATACACACAGTTCAAGTAAACAATGTGTAAAATAAGCATGAACACTAGCAAGATACTGTAATGCAGTCACATTATATATAATAAATAATTTATAATTTTTCATTTGTAATTGACTATTCTATGGCAGTGAGGTAGAAGCTCCTCTCCTCCAGTAACAGATGGCTAGCCATAACCTGGTCCTGGATGGATATTAGGTCTCCATTTAGCATTCAGTAATAACAGCGTTACAATCAAGAGAATGTATTTTGTATTATAGCATCTCTTGACTATTTTTCTTCAGTATTTCTTCATGCCAGTTATCAGTACCCAGAGGCTCCTGATCAATGTAAGAAAATCCAGGTGGATTAAAAGCTTCCATAAGTTGTGTTTCTTCACCACTGACTAAAGAATTCATACTACCGTTTGCTCCTAGATCCTTTGCACTAGTGTTATTTGTACTTGAGCTATGGGTGTAGGTGAGACACCAACCCCGTGTCTGCTCAACTTCCTGTGTCACTACCACGAATAACTCCTTGTCTTTGTTTCGCAGTTCTTCTCGAAGATAATTTGTTAACTCTTGTTCCTAAAATAAAAAATATTAGAAATGTAAAAAATAAATAAAATTATATGAACAATAATGTACATGTATTACGTATTTAAATTTGATGGCCATCTTCCACCAAAGTAGCGTGACCCCCCAAAGAAGAAAACACATTCACCATCAAAATTCAAGATAATAATTATTGTAAACTCCTGTACAACACAGTAGCTACATTATGGCAAACTAGAAAATAGTTATATTTCAAGACTCTTGACACAGCTCAAAAACAAAAAAATAACAAAAGCTTGCTTTATTTCCCATTTATTAATAACAGTATATGTATGTGATTTATTTCTGTGTTTATTTAGCCAATGTAGTCCCAGAGTGTCAGATTACAATTTCTGTCAGTCAAGACAGGGTGATGTGTAGATGTGTGTGTGGTATTCTTACTTTTGCCACACATTTTACTGCGGGTGTGAATTATTTTTTTGTTAATAAGGCCAGTATACTGAATGATGACACAAGCATTATTCAAAACCCTTATGATTCAGATTACAATACAATACTGGATACTAATGCTACAGTTACCAGGGTAAGTCAGGTGCCCAGAGTCACTGCTTGACTTCATCTCATCAAGACACTGTCATGCCATACAACTAAGTGGTTTTTAGTTAACCCCTTAACTGTCCAAACGTAGATCTACGTTCTTACCACTAGCGCTCCGAACGTAGATCTACATTTTATTTTTCCTGCCTTCAAATTTGGCATGATAGGCCTGAGCAGCTTAGACATGAGAGAGTGGGTCTGCACACTCAGTGTACGCTGCATGAAAAAAATCAGGGACCATGCGGTACCGCATGGTAGCATCAGTTAGTTTCAGCTCCATCTTGGGTCAACATCATGACACAACCTCGTGATTCACTCACGCCTCATCATATTAACACTCTTAATCGAGGAAAGTTATAAAGAACGTGAGTCTAGTGGATTTGAAACCGATGTGGTCCCTAATTATCAAGGAACTGGTGAAAATATTGATAACCCAATGACCCTCAGCCCATCACCTCTGGGATGGCCACACTGGCCATCCCAGACCCTCACCGAAGTATCTCTGGGATGGCCAGTATTACAACCCAGAGGCTACTACACAAAAGGAAATAATCACATTCTGTCATTTTTGGTGAAGACGAGAGTGAAAGTGATATAAGTGATGACAACATCGATTTTATGCCCATGGATGATTCGTCGAGTGATAGTGACATACTTTATTCCCCAGTGAACCATATGTTTAGGTGTTGTCGCCTATGTTCAGGCAGTGTGCAAAAACACACATTGTACTGTACAAGAGTTTACAATAATATGAAGTAAAAATAATGTAAGAATTTGTATGTACAGTGTAAAGAAGAAAGCCAAGAATGGCCTCAGACTTATTACCAAAGTTAATTGTACATTATGACAACATATAACTTACATGCTACTGTATATTACTGCACTGTATATTATGGAGGTTCTTCATTCTATCACTTGAGCCACAATACGTGTGCTCCAATACATTTAAACTCACCTTTCCAATTATTTCTGGCGTTTCTAACTTTGAATCCAAGTTGTAGTATATTCCTCTTATATTACGAATAGCAATCCAGTGTTTACGCCGTAGTGGTAATTGCACAGGTCCTAGACGATACTCTGATGGTACATTCAGGATGAATCCAACTACTTTATCCAGTGCAATAACTTGAGGATCTCTGAAAGAAGTTTAGAAAACAAAAGCAGATCCTACTTTTTAAACATTAAGCATTATTTACTTTCAGAAAGGACAAGACGAGAAATACAATACGGGTCGGCCATCACTAATCGGGCATCATTGGGACCGGCAGTGTGCCGGATTAGTGAGTTTGCCGGATTACAGAGTGGTTAGGTTAGAATACACTTAATTAACCTATCAATAGATAGACTCTTTCTGCTACATCTTCCTCTTCAAGGGGGGCTCCTTGGCGTGGTGAAGAGGCTCTTGGTCTGAGGAATTAGACCTGTCGGTCTCCTTCCTCAGACCGAACCTAATTACCCCCCAATCCCCCATTCCCTATCCCATCCTCCCCTTTTTCCTTTCCTCCTCCTCCTCCCCACCCCTCCTTTTTGCCCTTCCTTTTTGGCCTTTGGGTTTTCTTTTTTTTTTTTTTCCCCCCCCCACAGGCACACTAGTTCCTAGGTAGGGGAAAGGGTACCGGGGTCCATCCCATTCCGTTGAGGTTCTTGGCGGTGGCGTAGTTTGCCGTGGAATCTGGATTGCCTGGGGATGTCCCGATCCCTCTCCGGTATCCCGGAGGGTGGCTTTGGGTGTCTCTCAGGCGACGGGTGTATCTCTGGAAGCCACCTTTTGGATTCCGGGGGTGGTGGCCGAAGGAGGTATGCTTTGTGGCGGATTTCCGGCCACCCTCTCTTTTGTCCACCGAGGTAGCTCGGCAGATGTGAGGTTGCTATCCCGGATTGCCAGTTTACTGGCATGATGGGTAGGGTATGGCACGGGTTCTATGCTGCATCTGTGCTACTTGCGGTGCTGAGGTCCTCTTGGGCGCGGAGGGAGATTTCTGGCCCTTTCATCCCTGCTAAGAACTATCCCTCCCCGGTCCCCCCTTTTTTTATTCTTTTTTTTATTTTTATTTTCTTTTCTTCTTTCTTTTTTATTCTTAAAAACAAAAAGAAAGAAGTAACCTAACCATGGCAGCCCTAGTCCATGAACCTGCTACCCCCGGGCCCCTTCTTGATACCGCACCCCGTTCTGACCCCGCCTCGTCTTTGGACCACTCTTCAGACACTCCTCATGCCTCTGTACCTCTTGCCGGTGCTGTTTCCTCACCCGCTTCAGGTACTGAGGCCTTGACTGACTCCTTCGATTAATCTGACCTTCGCTCTCTCCTCTGACTATGCTTCCGGCCTATCCCTCTACGGTGCGGCAATTTTCGAATCGCCGACCCATTCCACGTCGGACCAACTCTGGTCCCACGCCTAAACGCCAACGACAATTACCTGCTGATGATACTTCTCCACCTTCTCGTTCTTCTCAGAAAAGATCGACACATCCTTCACTCCCTTTTTCCACGCTCAGTTTCAGACTGCACAATGGACTAAATTCTTCACTTACGACCGACTTCCTCTACTGCCTATCTTTCTGACCACAGTATTGGCAAGGCACTCCTACGCCATGTTGGTAAAGATATTTCTTTTCATGCTCTTAAGAGCGGTACGCGCATCATCACTGTACAGAATGCTACCCAGGCTCATGAGCTTCTCGTTTTTCCCCATATCGATACTGTTCCTGTCACTATTGAAAAACATCATTCCCTCAATTCTTGTAGTGGTACCATCATTCTGCCCCATACCATAGTTCAACAAAATTTCCAGACATGTGGCACTGACATTCTTGAACAGCTGGAACTCCAAGATCTCCAATCCTCAAGGTAGACACTTACGTTCTTCCTGCCCGCGGGCGGAGACGATACCCTAGCAATGTGGCTCGTTTAACTTTTGACAGCCGTGGACTCCCATCCTCAGTTTATGTAGCAGGACATCGGTTACAAGTTCGAAAGGTGATCCTACACCGCAACAGTGTAGAAATTGCGGGGCGATTTGGCCATCCAGCGAAATATTGCAGATCTATCGCCGAATGCCCAGTCTGTGGTGCCGATGACCATTCTAATATGTCTTGCAATCGACCTCCCTCTTGCCTTAATTGTCATGAGGCTCACCCTTCGTACTCTCGCCGTTGTCAAGTCTACTTAAACGAGCGGGAAATCCGTTACCTCAAAGAGGCAGAAGGTCTCCCTTATGCCATGGCAGTTTCTCATCTCATCCTCCAAGGGAGACTATCTCGTGTTTCTTATTCCCGTGTTTCAAAACGTCCCCCACTTCTGGTATCCCATCTTCTGCACCCACTCTGTGGTTACCTCTCCCATAGTCACTCCTGTATATATTCTTTTGCTGTCCTCGGCTCAGACGTCCCTACTTCAACGCCTCAGTCTGATCTCGCTTCTTCGTGTTCTCTCTCACAAGCCTCAGTAGCGAAGAGATCTCGTATGACACCTCCTCCCAATCGTCCCTCTACTTCTCAAAAGTCAAAAAAAGGTCCGTTAACACCTCCTACCCATCTTCCACCTCCTCATTTTACCTTCCCTGTCTCTGTACCTGGTTCTCCCCCTCTCACTGGCTCTGTTACAAGTGTTTGAGGTTCACCCTCCTCCTCGTACTGTACCTTCTCCCCTGTTCCCTCCCAAGTTTCTTCCTCTTCTGCCACCTCCCAGGTTTTGCCTCTTCTGTCCCCTTCCACGCTTCTCCCGTTCCCTCCACCCTTTCGCCCCCCCCTACCTTGGTAGAGTCCATACAGTTCCAATCTTTAATCATCCTCCCCCTACCATTTCCAATATTGTCTCCCCTACGACGTTTTCTGAATTCCGAAACACTTGAAGCAATCTCTGAATATATTGCAGAGACCAAACCATCAATGGACACTGATCCACCCTCTGCTCCTTCTCTCTCCTCTGCTCCATCTGCGCAACTCCTTTCTTCACAGCGCACCGTTCCTTCACTGCTTGAACGTTTTCCACTGCCTCCGCATGTGGACTTTTCTAACCCCTCTAGTCCGTAGGAACCCCTTTCCTGCGGATTTCAGGTATCTTTATCATTGCCAATCATGGCCTATTTACAGTGGAATATACGCGGCCTCAGGGGTAATCGGGGTGAGCTTCAGATGTTACTCTCCCAGTTTTTCCCTGTTGATGTTTGCTTACAGGAACCAAAATTACACTCTGTTGTTATCTCTCCCATCTCAGGCTATAATTTATTGTATTCTTCAGATCCTTTTCCTGATGGGACCTTTAATGAAAGTGCCCTTCTTCTACGCACTGATATTCCGTACCATTAGCTATTTGTTCGTTTTCGCTGCATTACACAGCAGCCCGTATCCACTTGCATAGGTGGTATACTCTCTGTTCTTTATATCTCTCTCCTTCTCCGGCATTATCTATTCCGGATATTGCCTTTCTTGTTTCGTCATTACCGCCACCGATTCTGTTACTTGGTGATTTTAATGCCCCACCATTTCCTCTGGGGGGGGTCTCACTGTGATTCCCGTGGCATTCAGTTAGAGGCTTTTCTTGCCACCCACCCCCTCCATGTTTTAAATACAGGTACTCGCACCCATTTTGATCCTCGGACTCACACTCTCTCTCGCATCGATCTCTCAGTCTGCTCTTCCTCCGCCGCATTAGATTCATTGGTTGTTCCCCCGGATTACTTGCGGATCTTTCCCAATCATTTTACTTCCCCCTTCATTTTCACCCTCTTCGCACCCTTGTGGAAATTTTTGTCAGGCAAATTGGAACCTTTACTCACCCCAAACTGTTTTTGAAAAGGTTCCTTCTTGCCTCATCGATGAGTTTTTTACCCCCTCTTCTCGTTTTCCCTTTTTTTAACCCGCAGTTCTCATTCTATCCCCCAAAAATTTCGGGCAGGTTCTCAGAAATTTGCGTGCCTTGGTGGTCTCCTGCTTGTGCCGTGCGTACGTTTAAAACGCTGATGGGCAGGGTACCGATAAAATAGCCCCCAAGAGAGATTTTTGATTTTAAGAGAAGTGTGCGAAATCGTCGCCGTGTCATCCGTGACGCAAAAACGCACTTGCTGGCAGTTATGTTCCCCATCACCTTGCTTCCTCTATGGTGCAGTCTGAAAAAGTACGAAAACTGAGTGGAAAATATTCTCCTGACCCGGTTTTCCTGTTCTGCGGGTTGCGGGGTGTTTGAAATAGCAAACCCACTAGATGTTGCCAATGAAAATTGGAATCATCTGGTCCGTATTTTAGGGACTCCATCTATGCCCCCCATTTCTTTCCTCAAGTTTGCCAGAGAGTTAGCACCTTGGACTTTTTTCTCTCAGAAGAAAAAGTTTAAAAGTGCCCTTTTTCACTTCAAGAACTGGGGCAACACTATCAGCTTGCCCATCATCGGCAGCTGGGGGCCCCACGACTTCTATTCGTTTGCTTCACTTTACATGTAGCCCTTGCAGTCCTATTACGCCTTTACAATTTTATTTGGCACAAGGGTTCTTCCCCAGCTGTGGAATCACCATTGTTCTCCCTTTCCGCAAAAAACCCGGCATAGGGGCATGAAGCCCCCTATCGGCCTTGCTCTTACCAGTGCAGTTTGCAAAAATGATGGGAACCTTTGAAAATAGACGTTTTAGGGGTTTTAGAGACACCAACAGTCTTCCCCCTCATCAATTGGCTTTCGTAAAGGGAATTCTACCATAGACCCCCCTTTCTACGCTTGGTACGTATGTTGTAATGCCTTTGCGAATAACCCTCAGTTATTTCCATATTTTTTGACCTTGAGAAGGCATATGACACAACTTGGAGGTATAATATTTTAGCCAAGCCCACTCCTTAGGCCTTCGAGGCAATCTACCATCCTTCCTTAAGAACTTTTTAACTGACAGGCATTTCCGTGTTCGGGTTAATAATGTGCTCTCCCCGGACTTTATCCAAGCTGAAGGTGTCCCCCAGGGATGTGTTCTGAGCACAACACTTTTTCTCCTTGCTATTAATGATTTGGCCTCTAGTCTTCCATCAAATATTTGGTCATCACTCTATGTTGATGACTTTGCTATTGCCTGTGCAGGCGCTGACTGTCACCTCATTACAGTTTCTCTCCAGCATGCAGTCGACCGTGTTTCCAATTGGGCCACCTCACGTGTGTTTAAATTTTCCAGCACTAAAACCCACCAAATTACTTTCACTAGACGCTCTGTCATCTCCGATCATCCTTTGTACCTCTATGGCTCCCGTATCCCTGAACGTGATACAGTCAAGTTTCTGGGCCTCCTCTTTGATCGTAGGTTATCCTGGAAACCTCACATTACCTCTCTGAAGGCAACTTGTCACAGCCGGCTGAACCTTCTTAAAACCCTTGCTCATCTTTCATGGGGAGTGATCGTCGAACCCTCCTTCGCCTACATTCCACCCTTATTTTATTGAAACTTGATTATGCTGACCAGATCTATTCAGCGGCATCTCCTGCTACTCTCTCTAGCCTTAACCCCATTCATCACCAAGGATTACGTTTATGCCTTGGTACTTTTCGCTCTTCCCCTGTCGAGAGCCTCTATGCAGAAGCGAACGTTCCATCCTATCCGATCGCCATGATGGCCCATTGCCTTTGCTACTATGTACGCTCTCATAATCTCCGCAATCCTTCCATTTATAGAATGGTGACTGATATTAGTAGACATTCTTTATTTGTTCACCACCCTGTTTACTCCGCTCTTTCTCTCTTCGCTTTCATTCGCTCTTGTCTTCTCTTCAATTTACCACCTTTCTATGTTCATGTAGCATATCACTTTTCCCTACCCCCCTGGAAGTTCCAGCTGTTCGAGTCTGTTCTTTCTCTCTCCCTTGCTCGAAAGCCCAACTGTCTACAGTCGCTTCCCGCTCTCTTTTTCTTGACCACTTTCACTCTCATTCTCATGCCATTGCTGTGTACACAGATGGCTCTAAGTCTTTCTGACGGCGTCGGTATTCGCAGCAGTGTTTCCGGACAGCGTCGTACGAGGGCATTTACTATCTTCGGCTAGTATTTTTACTGCTGAATTGTATGCCATCCTTGCAGCACTTATCCGTATTGCATCTATGCCTGTGTCATCATTTGTGGTTGTCTCAGACTCCCTTAGTGCTTTACAGGCTATACAGAAATTTGATACACCTCACCCCTTAGTCCTCCGTATCCAACTTTGGATACGCCGCATCTTTACCAAGCATAAAGATATTGTTTTTTGTTGGGTCCCTGGTCATGTTGACGTACAGGGCAATGAACAGGCAGACACTGCTGCGCGGTCAGCAGTACATGACCTACCAGTTTCATATAGAGGTATTCCATCATCGGAGTATTTTGCTGCAATATCTTCCCACCTTCACACCCGTTGGCAACACCGTTGGTCTACTATGCTCGGCAACAAACTTCAATCTATTAAACCAAGTATAGGTTACTGGTCGTCTTCTTATCACCAGTGTCGAGGTTGGGAGACTACTCTCTCCCGTCTTCGCATTGGCCATACTCGTCTTACTCATGGATATCTCATGGAGAGGCGTCCTGCTCCTCTCTGTGAGAATTGCCAAGCTCCATTATCAGTCAGCCACATTCTGTTGGACTGCCCACTTTATCAACGAGCACGCAGAATTTACCTCCGTCGTCGTCTTCGCTCCTGCTCTCTCTTTACCTTCCCTTCTCGCTGATCTACCCACCTTTCATCCGGACTCTCTCATTGACTTTTTGACAACTGACTTACTTCACAAATTCTGATACCTTCAGCCCTTCTACTTCAATCTCTTGCTACCCTCTACCCCCATACTATCCCCTGCCCCGCTGTTTTTCTGTAACCTACTGATCATCCCTCCTCCCTTCTGCCATCCAATACCCTCGCTTCCTTCCCTACCCTGCAGCGCTGTATTAGCCCTTGTGGCTTAGCACTTCTTTTTGATTATAATAATAATCTGCTACATCTTCCTCATTTGCATCACTGCTGTCTCCTCCACTGGCTTGCTGCTGTGGATTTTCAACCATCTGCACAATTACTGAATCAGTATAATGATGAAATTTGAAATTATGCTAGTTGAAATTAGTGCTAGATTACTGATGGAACCGGATAACCAACTGCCGGATTAGTGATGGCCAACCTATACATACTCAATTTTTCAATAATATTTCTCTCTTCCTGTACATGTTTTGTGCATTTATATTTCAGTAGAACTGAAAAGTCTTTCCTAAAGTTATACTATAGGTACACTTTTTCCACATCTATAAACATAACCCTTATGTGTTTAGTGCTGGTGAATAAAATAATAATTCAAGTACACCATGTTAAATTTTAAAATTCATGTCTGTATGCAAAAATGCAAATAAAATAACCAATAACTATCAAGATATGAATCTGTAGCTACATATATGTTAAAACAAATAGCCAGTGTACAAGTTGATGCAAATAAGGTATGTTTTCTTACCATTCAGTCTCTGCTTTGACCAGTTAGGGATATATACAGTATTCAATACATCTGTAACTTCAAAAACTTCTCTAAAGATATTTCCCATTCCTTGACATCAAAACCAACACAATAAACAGGATTATCTAACATTGTTGCCGCACATCTGGGAAAAGTCAAGGAGAATAGTTCGTTTTTCAAGGTTGAGGAATTATCAGGGAATTTGAAGTTTATCCAGAAATTTTGAAATTTGATTATGTATTATTTCTTTCTGCTCAAATAATATTTTTAGAAAAGTATTATTTTTTTATAATTCCTACAAGTACTGACACTATAATGCTGCTACACAAAGTAACATTTGTTAAATAAGACTCTTCTCAAAAACCACTTACTCGCCTTAAACTAAATACTCAATATTTAACTTAACAAAAAAATCTCCCAATTACCAAAATCTTAAAACCTCAAAACATGACATCCAAAGTTCATGCATTGATTAAAACTACCTTGTAGTATAAATACCTACCCAAAACATTACTGCCTTACATCCAATTGTTGCATTCTCATACTGTAAACTACTTTCAACAACTCACAATGTTATATTCCCATAATATAATTTCAATATTTACTATTGAAACTATAGTAATTTGAGTAAAATTACAAGATGTACAACTTAAATTATGTTTAGTTTCTTTAGAATATATCATGTACTCTGTAAGCCATTAAATTAAGTCTGCCCATAATGCCTAGACATGACAGTGGCTCTTTGCACTGCAACTCATTTTTGTAATTTCATAATCTTAATGTAATCTTGCAAGGAAATAAAAATTGATTGATTGATAGATAATGTAAATTGTAATATCCACTTTAACTTGAGTTTATTAATTCTATAAACATGATTGAATATTGACCATCTTGGTCTCATGTACGTAATATAAATTCATAAAGATGTGCTGTTGGAGGAATGGGTAGCTATGATGGGAAGTTGGAGGCTGCAGTGTAGTGAAATATTGTCAGGAGAAAAACCAATTTTGTCAGGGAATTTTGAAATTGGCCTTCTGTGGCATCACTACTTAAGAAACACCAGTTAACTGCTTGTAAATTTGTAACATGACTTTAAAAATGTTTTAACTACAACTTTCTTTAACTTGTTCATGATGTATGAACCATTTAAGTTTAGTGCTTTCTTGTGACTACAATAACACTAATAATATTGTAGATTTTTCAACAAACTGGTTATATTCCACTGAGGCAGCGTAACGTAAAAAGAATAAGATAAGTTTTTCTTTTTAAACTTAGAAATATATACAGGAGAAGGGGTTAGACACCCCTTGCTCCCAGCATTTCAGTCGCCTCTTACGACACGCATGGCTTAAAGGGGAAGAATTCTGTTCCACTTTCCCATGGAGATAAGAGGAAATAAAGATGAAGAACAATTAAGAAAACAGAGAAAACCCAGAGAGGGTATGTATATATATGCACTGATATGCATGTGTAGTGTGACTCAAGTAGACATAGCAAGATATATCTGGTATTTTGTGTGTTTATGCGACAGAAAAAAAGACACCAGCAATCCTACCATCATGTAAAACAATTAAATTGTAGATGAGATAACCAAATTGGAAAAGAGATAATGTAAAGCAAAAGAGAAATCGGATAATAAAATGAGCTGTCATGAAATTTTTTTTAAGCAGAATATGTACACTAAAAAGTGATATTTCATACATGTATCCTTCACAGTTCATAGGTTTATTAATTGTGATTTCAAGTACAGTATTTACAACACAGTGGTACCTTGACTTACAAGTGCCCCAACTTACGAGTTTTCCGAGTTATGAGCTGTCACTCGGTCAGTTTTCTGCTTTGAATTACGAGCCAAAATCAGAGTTACAAGCGAGCTTCAGATACACTGCCACTAGTTGGCAGTGTATCACGGTACCACTGTACTCGTATTTTATAGGGAACAAGTGTGCCATTCATACCCCAAGCCCTTGAGTATTCCCTATTGAGAATAATTCAGAAGTGATTATTAAGAACAAAGAATAAACCAGTGAACTGTAAGGGTTGGCTGTACTCTTTATTACAGTACTGGGCTAAAGATAATGTGAGAATAATTTAAATTATTCCAGTTTCACCATAAATGCACTAATGAAAATCGAAACAATACTAAACAGTACATGTATTGATGTATATTTTTAAAGGAATACAACTCTCTTATTGCTAATTCAGTAATAAATGAAAGTTCCATTTTTACTATTTTCTATTAGACATAATAACTGTGTATCTCATTCACTAAGATAAGAACTAATAAACTTTTCAAATCCAAATTATTAAGAAATTAAGTAAATCTAAGATAATACAGTATACATCTGTAAGATGATAATGAAAATTAAACTCTTTCTCACTTACTTTCTCTTATCAAACCAAATTACACCACAGCCCTTTGTAACAAGAGCTGCCATTATTACATTTATGTCATAATTGCCAGTGCCAAGCAGGGATTTGTGAGGATTAAACCAATTGTCTGGAGACAGTGCATAACAAATGCTGTCCAGTTCACTCTTAGCAAAAGCCCCACCATCTTGGAAGAGGTTGTTGAGTGAGTGAAGGGCACATAACTCCTTAATCTGAAGAAAACAATATTATAAATTTAGCTAACAACTGGTATCAGATACTGTACCGACAAGTGTTAAAGAAAAAGATTGAAGTGAAAATGCTTTCCTGAGCAAAATGTCCCCCTAGTAAGTACCCTTATACTACACAAACACACTCACACATCTTATTTCACAACAGTATTATATAGTACATGTTAAATGTAGAACACAACAGGTACACTAACCATCAAAAGTAATAGACTAACAGTGCCTTAAATCTATGTAAAAATATTGCATGATATAAATCTTGGTAACTGATATCAACAAATGGTTTAAAAAGACACATGGGCAAACACTATGATATATTTGTTAAACAATGTTTTTGTCTTGAGGCCTTGATCACTTCTGAAGTGATCAAGGTCCCAGGAGCAAAACATTTTCTAATAAATATGTCTTGGAATTTGCTCACATAAAAATATTGCCTGCTGGTATGGCTATTACACTAGTGATAAGCATAGGAATCACTTGCTAGAAATCTTGTGCTGGGAAAGGCATTGGTTACCTTAATAAAGAAAATGAAACAGAGGTATGGGGGGATCTGATATATGTATAGTAAATAAGGATAAAAGAAATGAAAATTGCTGAAAAATTATCTTTAAATTATTGAATGTAAAACTGTATCAAGTACGTGTAGTACTATAGTACATACAGTAATAAAGTGCCAATAAAATGAGGAATTCATTATCCCACAACAGTATAATTAATAATATTAATAATAAAAATAGTAATGTCTAATGAAATTGAATTATTTTATTGTATAATTTACAATTTATATATCTAAGACATATTTACTATAGTACCTGTTTTTCATGGTAGATGTCTGGAGTCATGGCGACACCAACCTGATTCTCTTCACATCTAATCACTTTCTCTATCCAAGTACAGCAAGCGCAACCCCCCGTCATGGGCCCAAAACATTATAATGTCACCTAAAAAGAATAAATAAATAAGCACAAACAGCACACAGTATAGTTCTAGACTTATTATCCAGATATACCTATTGCAATATGTTTATAAGGTATGCACTACTGAAAGTATACCTGGAAAACAGCAACATGGAATAATGGAATGGCACAGGGCTCTATCTTATGGGCTGGTGCTTGCAGATGCATGCTCTATTAAGACTATAGATTTTTTCTTTTACTGTATCAGTGCCTTATAATCTGACTATCTGAAGTGTTCACGTTATTGTCTACCACACCATTTTGTATACATTATTACAGCCTCTCCTCACTTAGCGACATACTCGTTTACCGGTGACTCGGACTTACGACGGGCTCTCTGACCAGTATGCATACATAAATAATGTATATTAGAGCTGATTTCTTCTATTATGTTCATTACAATATACAGTATACTACTGTATAAACATTTATAAATATACCAGAAATGTTATAAATAGTGCAAAGATGGCATTAAAATAATACTATAGATGGTTGACACAAACCCACTATCATTATAGTATGCTCCTCACTTCGTGACAAATTATATACTGACGAGTTCTTAGGAACGGAACTCCATCATCAAGTGAGGAGAGGCTTTATTATAATAAAAAAGCAGCGCTAAACCTACAAGGGTCATACAACGCAGCTCATTTTGTATACAATATTTTAATCTGTGCCAACTAAAGCCTGCCTAGTGTTAACTTTAAATTATTCATCTCTATGGTGATCAATGAAACTTATTAAATGGTTTGAAAAGATAAATAAAATATTACTAGCTTTTAGGGAAGAAATTATGGGTAGTGATTAACTGGTTTGATAGTAAACATGATATCTTAACCCTTTCAGGGTCCAAGGCCCAAATCTGGAGTCACGCACCAGTGTCCAAGAATTTTCAAAAAAAAAATTTGTTATTTTTTCTTATGAAATCGTAGAGAATCTTTTTGTGAAGGTAATAAAACAAAAAGTACGAAATTTGGTGGAAAATTGACAAAATTATGCTCTCGCGAATTTTGATGTGTCAGCGATATTTACGAATCGGCGATTTTGCCGACTTTGACTCCCATTTTAGGCCAATTACATTATTCCAATCAACCAAATTCTTAGCTATTTCACTACTATTACTTCTATTCTATCGATTGAGCACAAGAAATCGCCAAGTCAACTGTTTCAACTACAAAATAAAGTGATCGGAAATTGTTAATTTGGCCAATTTAACACAAAGTTCAAAATATTCCAATTTCAAAATAGGGTCCAGAATGAACAATGTAGGCATTCCTGGCACTAAACTAACATTTCCTCTGTTCATTAGTTATGTTTTGAGGCTTTACAAATAAATTCCATTTTGATTTTTTATTCACATAATGAATTTTTATTCACACCAAAAAATAGAAGATTTACTGTTATGCAATACTGTAATAATTGTATAAATATCATCACCATATTTGTGAATGTATATTAGACCCACCAGCTGGTGTGTATTAGACGTGTGAGGTCGTTTGTTTACTCTTGAATATCGGCAAAAATTTAACATTTCTGCTACTTTGAGCTCAGTTTCAAGCCATTTTCCAGTGCTAAAACCAATCAAAATCATCTCTATTTCTGTAATATGTCTTCCATTCTATCAAATGAGATCAAGAAATCGCAAATACAACTATAAAAAACATACGAAAAAACACTGCAAAGTTGCTGTTTTAATCGAAAAATCATGATTTCATTTTTTTTCTCTCATTATACACAGTGTGCTGCAGGATCTGTTTTATGTGGTGCACACATACCACATAGATGTATTCTCTCATATCTAGGCCCAAATGTACCACTCACAGTTTATCAGAGTGAGCTGAGCTCATGGCGTAGATCTACGGTTTGGACCCTGAACGTAAAGCCGTAGATCTACGGGACGGACCCTGAAAGGGTTAAAGGCAAATGCCTTCATGCTGGTGAAATACCCTTAATTCAATGAATTGGAATAATAATTATTATTATTATTCAGTATCTATAAACAAGAGCTAAATCCATATGGGTCATACAGCACTGCTGTATGTATGTATGTATATATATACAGTGGTCCCCCGCTTTTCGTAGTTCCCGGCAATCGTAAAATTCGCCAATCATAGGGGTATTTTCGTATAAACATGGACTCGCTTTTCATAGGTTGACTCGCAAGTCGTAGTTCGTCCGGGACGCGTACGCACGGCGTGGGCCAGGGCGGCAGCCAGTTTGGCATTGTTTACCAGTGAGCGAAGGTCCCCTTGTGTGCTCCAGCGAAATATTTCATAATATTCCATTTATTTTAGTGCTTGCAAGTACTAAATAAGCTACCTTGGCTCCAAAGAAAGCTCCTATTGCCAAGCCTGTGGTAAAGAAGGTGAGAAATACGACTGAATTTAAGAAAACCATCATTGAACAATATGAAAGTGGTACAAGTGTGGCCGAACTGTCCAGGATGTATAAGAAACCCTACACAACCTTATGTTCCATAGTGGCC